CGGGGGGCAGCAGGGGCGTATTGGCCAGTAGGAGGGAAGGGTCCAGAAACTGCCTTCACAGCCCGGCAACTCTGAGTCCCGTCCACACTGTGTCCACGCACGAACAGCACATTTCTCATTTATCAGAGAGCAGTGAGGTCCAGCTCTCTTCTCCCCGTTCAAAGGCTCTGGAAAAGCCCAGCTGCTCTGAGGACCCAAAGCAGCAAGGCCAGAGTTGGGTGACAGAAGAAGGGCCCTGACCCAGCTCCTAGAGCAGTGAGCTCCACAGGGACCTCCACGGAGGTAGCGGGGGGCCGGGAGGTGACAGTCCGGTGAATGTGGAGACAGCAGGAGGGCCTTCTGAGCTGCAGGGCAAAGTAAGCAAGAGCTGAGCAGAAGTCCCTGTGATGACCCCTCCGCTCCCAGGTGAGGGCAGAGGGGCCTATTCGGGTGGGAATGGGACCTGCCCAGCCTGGCTGGCTTTCAGGGGGCTGAGCTGTAATCCAGACCAGGGCGTGGCATGCAGGACTACCTTGAATAAATACCTGCACGATCAAGTGAATGGGTGAAATCAGGGTCCCAGGTGGATGGGAAGGGCACGCTGGCGGACGGGGAGATGTGAGGAAAGCAGCCCTTTAGAGGTGCCGATGGTGCCCATTCCCCGCAGCCACCCTGCATGACTGAGCGCAGCTCTGGGCCTGGCCCTGGACCTCGCGGGGTCCCTCTCACCCATGTGGGGCTCACAGCACAGTTTCCAGAGACTGAAAGTGGGAGGGAGAGGCAGGTTCACTGCCCACTGAGTGTCTCTGGATGCGCCCTCCCCACCCACACCCCCGTCCCTGCAGAGCCCGGCCCCAAGCTGTCTCCACAAAGCTCCACGATGCTTTGGGTCAGGTGCTTCCGATGAGACATTCTCACCTGTGAGCAAGAGAGCATCATGGGATTTCAAGAGAACCGGGGGCACTTCTGAACCACGACCGTGAGAGAGCCAGGTCTGAGCCTGCGCCGCAGAGGCAGGGCCCTAGAGTCAGAAATGACCGCACACCTGTCCTGCATGACCTGCACGGCGCGCCTGTGCCCTGCCCCTGGGGCTGTCCCCAGGCTCTCCCGGTCTGGCACATGGGGACAGACTCTCTACTCCCGAATCCCTGGGACCCTTCGAGGAGGTGTCTGGTAGGAGGCAAGAAAGAGGGAAAGGAGAAGTGGGGTGGTGGCAGGGCCAGGAAATCGCACAGGAGAACGTGTCCCCGCCAGGACCGTGCCCGCCTGCCAGCCCAGGGCTCAGGAAGTCTGCAGGAGTTGCATGGAATCGCCTCCCCCTGCTGCCCTGGCATCGCTCACTGTGAGCCAGGCACTGGGGGGTGCCTGTAGGGACCTGCTAGTGCTGGGTACTGTTCTGGCTGTGGATCGATCCGCTGAGTAAGATGGAAACACCTGGCCTTAGGGGGCAGTCAGGGCGTCACTAGGGAGGAGAGGCCCTGTGAAGAAGAGACCCAGAGGCCACTGAGGTCCTCAGGAAGCTTCTGTCCCTTCAGCCCCACCTTCCAGGTGCCGCCTAAACGGAAGGCTCTGGAAGGGGATGCTGCTGCTTCCCACCTTCCTAAACCACTGGCCTTCAACTCAGGACTGGCAAATCTGCTGGCCATGCCTCCCTAGCCCGTGCCCGGAGCAGACATTACTAACAGGTCACAGCACCATTTCCTGCCAGCCTACGTGCAGGCTCAGAATCCTCAACTGGCCCTGCGGCTGTTGGCAGAATCCAGAAGAGTAAGATGGAAACCATTGACACCCGCTCCCACCACTTCCTACCATCTCCTGTCACTGTCGCCAGCCTCCTGTCTCTGGCCCTTTGCTTTCCCCCATTCTCAGCCCCACACATACACCAAGCCTGTCCCCCCAACATCTCCTGGGCAGCCCCCTTTGACCACAAGTGGGGATGCTCCCCCTGCCCCAGAGCTTAAGCTTCCATGACCTTCCCAAGTTGCCCCAGCTCCTGAGACCCCTTCCCTTGGCTGGCTCCATCCCCAAAAAGTAGGAGGAAAGCCTCTTTGGGGGCAGAAACAAGCCCAGCTGACTTCCCAAGCCAGATGGTGGGGGCCCGCATTTGAGAGCTGAGTTTTTCAGATTTTCCGTCCAAGCAATCTGCTAATGGAGGCGAGAACACGACACACAGTGCAATCGCTGCCTCTGTCAACATGGGGTAATGATGTGCGGAAGCTGGCGCCTCGCTGTAAGCTGTGAACCTCCAGATATTCCCGAGCACCTGCAGCCCTGGTCGCCCTCCAGCAAAGGGAGTGGGGCCGGAGGTGGGCCACGGGCCGGGCCTGTTCTGGAGCCTGGGTTGGCACTGGGCCTTGGAAATCTATTTTGGAGACCCACAGAGCGCTCCCTTATTTAGAACATAGGAAACTGACAGCTTCGAGTGACAGAAAGCACCCCAAAAAACAAGGGAGCGTTTGTTTCCATTTTGAAGGTGATGATGCTTTTCTTGGTGTGCACGTGGGCAGGACCTGGGCGGGGGGCTGGGACAGAGCTTCTCTGAGCCTCTCCACCCCTGCCTGCTCCACCAGGCCAGCAGGGCCTCCCGGCCCTCCGCTCACTGTGGCCGCCCGCAGCCCCTGTCTTCTGCCTCCTCTCCTTTCTGAGACCCAGGGTGTTCCCACCTGCAGGCCCACTCTCTCGGATCCCAGGGACCCCATGCGGCAGCCAGCCCCAGCACGTGTCCCCACATACCAGGCCTGAACCCCAGAAGCTATCCATGCCACCCCTCTTTCACTGTCTGTCACTAACTTTCCACCAGGTCTGTCCATCTTGTCTCCTAAACAACTCAAATGCAAGCATTTTCTCTAGCCCACTGCCAGCCCCCATCCAGGCCACCATGCTCCTTTTGTCTTAAAATGTACATTTTATTAATATATGAGTATGAGGGGGCCACAGATCACGAGATGACTGCCGTTGAGAAGACAGCTTGTTGCAGCCCCGAGGCAGGCAGGGATGCCCTGCAGGGCCGCGTGGGGAGACGCTCAGGAGACGGGGATCGAGGGACATGTAGACAAGAGCCTGTGCGGGCTTCTGGGGGAAGGAGCACGCTTGGAATTAGCTGGTTTGAAAGTTTTCTGTGGGATCGGGGGCCCTGGGGATGCTCCCCTGGCTGTCTGCCCCTGGCCCTGAATAATTAGGGCAGGTGGATAGTGGCCAAGAGAATGACAGCCTGACAGAGGAAGCAGGGAGGCGTGTGGGCGCTGGAAGGGCCGGTGTGCTATGTGATGTGTTGCTCCCAAGTCAGCTGTTCCCATCCCTGGGAGTTGGCTGGCCTGGGAGGAGCGACCACTCCGCTGGGAAGGCCCCAGATGTCAAAGCGCCAGAAATACAGAAAACACAGCAGGATGAATGTGTCTTCCTTCGCCATGCTCCGGCCTTTCCAAACATTCTCCACACAACAGCCAATGACGGAAAAATGCGATCTGATCATTTTACACACACACACACACATGCACACCCTCCTTGCCAATTGAAAGTCTTCTGTTTGTTCTGAGTTAGTTGAGGACCACGGTGGTCCTTGGACTCCTGGCATCGCACCCAACCACGCCCCTGTCCCCATTCTCCAGACGGCCTGGCCTCTGCAGGCTCTCGAATGTGCTCCATCGAAAGTGCACATCCGTGTGCCTCGTGGCGATATGCCCCGTCTACCTGGGCACCACCCCTGCCCTCAGCCCACTCCTGCCTGCTCACTGTCCGGCCTGCAGGTGCTCACGGCACCAGGCTCCTCTCAGGGCCCCACCGGTGTGAGTCTTAGGTCCAGGGGCATCCTCCCACCAGACCGTGGTCACTGGGGCACCCCAGCATCTATCTCAGGGCCCGGCTCACAGCAGGCACCCCACAGACACTTGCAAAAGGGCTTCTAATCCTCTTGGTAACCTAAGAGGGAGACATTCCTGCTTAGCCCCCTTCTCAGGAACAGACAGAGTCTCAGGAGATTCCCTGGCTCCCGGGTCACACAGTTATAAAGGGACAGAGTCGCTTCCAAGGGAGGCTGGCATTACTCCAAAGCCCCTGACCTCTCCAAGGGTCCCTCCTTGCCCTCCCTCCCAGGAGCCATCACTTTGGGGGACAGCCTAGGCCCAGGCCCCAGGGACACTTGGTGTGCCCTGTGCCCACCTCTGTTTTCTATTTTGGGCAACAGAACCAGCTGGCAGGTAGTGGGTGGGGGCGGAGGGTCTGGTGGGGGGTGTTTTTCTGCCAAGTATTGGTTGGGTTGTATTCTCAGGCTCCCATAACGAAGGGCCACAACTGGGGGGAGCTGAAGTCAAGACACATTTACTGTCTCCCAGTTCTGGAGGCTTAAAGTCTAGGATCAAGGTGTTGGTAGCGCTGTGCTCGCCCCGAAGGCCCCAGAGGGTGCCTCCCTCTTCTCTCGGCTTCTGGTGGCTGCGGGTGCCCCTCAGTCCTTGGCTTGGGGGCGCAGCTCTCCCGTCTCCTCCTCCATCATCAGGCGGCCTTCTCCTTGTGTGTCTTCTATGTCTGTGTTCAAATTTCCAGGTCTTCTTATAAGGCCACCAGTCATATTGGATTTAGGGCCCACCCTACTCCAGGGTGACCTCATCTTAATTTACTAACTACACCTGCAAAGACCCTATTTCCAAGTAAGGTCACATTCTGAGGCTCCGAGTGGTCATGAATTTGGGGGGAGCACAATTCAACCCAGTCCAGGGGGATTTTCTCTTCCTCTGTCCTGTCTCCTGGAAGTGCCCAGGGATTTGGGGCACCAAGTGGCCATGACCTAAGCCCCTGTCAGAACCCACCATGTCCCCCCAAATCAGAACACAGCAGAGCATGAAAGGCCTGGACTGGGAGTCCGGAGCCCTGCCAAGCAGCAGGACCAGCCCCCTCCCCTCCCCGGGCCTTCACTTCCTTGGCCAAACAGTGGGGACTGAACCAGACGCTTTTCCCAGCTGTTACACAGCTGTGACATTCTAGGATCCAGAATGTTCCATAGTCTCATTCTTCATAGGTCTTTATTTTTTAGCAGAAAAGTAAATGAAAGGTACAATTGCCATTACTTTTAAAAACCATCAGTGCAGTAATCCACACTCGTGGTGAGATGGTGGAACCCGGTGGGAAGGTTCTGTCCATTCTACCGCGGTTCCTTTCGATGAGTCATTCAACTGCGACATATTTCTTGGGTGTCTGTGTGTCAGATTCTGGCCTAGACACAGAAAAAAGGGGTGAATGGGCCGGACACCATCCCTATTCTCGGGGGGCTTGCAGCCACATTCTTGATATAATCATGGTGCAAAGCATTACAAGGCATTCCCAGGGCCTGGGTGCCAGGGACGGCCTTCTCTGGGTGCATCTGAAAGGAGGGAACAGAATCGAGGGGTTCCTTGGGGCTGCTGTGGAGGGGAAGGTTGAGGAGGGGCGGGTGGACGCGCCCAATCAGCCCCCTGAGAAGCGGCAGTGTCTGTGGGGCCTCAGCTCTCAGACTCTCCTGCTCTGTCTGTCGGGAATCCTAAGGTGAAACAATAACCAGGATTCCTCCATCCCTGGCTCCCTGTGTTCCCGCAGCCACTTCCTGGGACTCAGATCTCCCCTGGCCCGCTGGGCTCCCACAGCTTCTTATCCCCTTCCCAGAACCCTGCCCACCCCAGCCCTGCCCCGCTGGGGCCACTGGGGGGCTGTGCCCGGCCCACACTCCATGCCGGAGCCCAGGCCTGCTGCCCCTGTTCCAGGCCGGGCTGGATGCACTACCCGAGTGGCTGGCGCTTCCATCTGGACATGGTAGGAAGGTGGGATCGTGGCAGGGGTTTGGAGGAGACAGGCAGTGTGAGGCTCTCCGCACAGAGGTCCCAGGGGCCCAGGAGGGGGCACTCAAGCACCCTCCATCCACCGAGAGAAGGGAACTCCTCGGGGTCCAGGCAGCCGCTCCCCTGGTCCCTAGCAAGGACGGGGCACCTCTGCTCCTTTCCCAGGGAAATTACTGAAATGTGTTTAGGGACCCACTGTTGTTCCTTTCAAAGTTGCCCTTGACCTTATGTCCACCAGGGCTGAGGGGCAGTGCCCGCAGTCCCTGAGATGGAAGGGACGCCCCAGCCCCGGTACACGCAGGAGTCCACCCCTCGGTCAGGGCCAGGGCGGGAGAAAAAGCAGGCGCCCCGGTCCGCTCGGCTGCCCTGCCCCGCTTCTGCGGGGCCTTCGCCCCTCCGGTGAAAACCCTCCCCTGCCGCCGAAGCGGGAGGCTGTCCGAATTAAAAGATGTCAGCAGCTGTAGTCATTAAGATAAAAGTCGCACTAATGACTCGAGTGTTATTTAGTTCTGATATCTTAATTTAATTGGATTTTTTTTTTAATTAAGAAAAAGACCCATGATCCTGCAAGCCCTGGGCTGGTGCTGCCTCTTCCGAAGTTGAACTTTAAAGGCTGGGCCGCAGAACCCCCGTGCCTCCTGCTTGAGGCTGCCGGGGCCTGGGGTCTGAGACGGGAAGGAGGTTAGGAGGTGACCCAAAGAGAATGGGGTTCGCCCAGGCCTGCAGCTCTGGAAGGAGGTGGCAGCTTCGTGCCTGGGAGGCCAATCGTGGGCATTGCTGCCACCGCACTGACAAGGGCCCGAGCGGCAGCTCCCGAGACCCGGATGGTTCTCCGTCACGGGCAGTGAGCCTCCTGCCTCCCGTCTGACCCCAGAAGCCCTGCCCTTCTCCAGCTCACGGCCGCTCTCCCAGGCCCGGTGCTGCCCAGGGGAGGGCGTGTGTCCCTGCTTCCCGGCCCTCCTGGGCAGTGGCCTCCTCTGCTCTCCCTGCTGCTCTCCCCCACTGGGCTCCCAAAGCCAGAGGCTGCTTGGTGAAGGTGATTGATGGTTTACCAATAGCAGTGGAATGAAGTTTTAATAGTCTCAGATTAAAGGATCAGGGGGCAGAGGGAAGCGGGGGCCTGGCTGCCGGCATTCATCTTTCTGCATCGTGCAAAGTCTGGAGCTGTGAGGAAGGGCCTGTTACAGCCACAAACCAGTCTGGAGGGTGCGGGGAGCCCGAGACATCAGGTAGATCCCTAGTGCCACTCGGGCAGGTGCAGGAGCCCCTGCAGCCCTCTGGGTCCAGCGCAGAGCCTCAGGAGCTTGGCGCCCTGGCCAGGTTAGGGGATGTCCCAGGGATGCAGGGCCTGTGTGTGCTGACAGGAGGGCGAGTGGGCCCCCATACCGATGGCTTGGGTAAAGAGGGCCCCAGAGAGGGGAGCCTGGGAGAAGGGCAAGTTCACAGGAAGTTCATTGGGAAGGGCACCCGCCACGGGTCCAGGCTGAGCATTCTGGGGGATGAACAGACAGGTGGGGCCTCAGGTCCTGGGTGGAAGCAGTGCTGGGTGGAAGCCCAGGTCAGACCCCCAGGGAGTTGCAGAACATGTCTGCTTCTTGGATGAGAGATCAATTATCTGCTCTTCATGGGCAAATGTGATTTTTCTGTCATTTACGGGATTCTTTGTAAAATAAATGCACATTCCCTCCCAAATCCTGTATGACCCTGGGTGCCCGAGGCCCAGGCTCGTGGTGGATGTAAATGGGGATTTGGCATCAGCTACAGGAGGGTATTTCTCCTCCTCTGCCCTCTATGTGCTTATCATTCACACCCCCACACCACAGGGGAAAGCAGGGGGCAGGGCCTGGGTGGCTCCTGTGTGGGGGGCCACCACTTCCTGCAGCCCCGCTGCCCCTCATGTCCTTTCGTGTCTCCTGAGACACAGGTACTGAGCACACGTGTGCTGACTCACCCTGCAGGCCAGGCTCTTAGCACAGCCAGCAGCTTGCCTGTGGTGGGGCAGGGGGCCAGGGCCCAGGACATGAGGTTCCAGCACCCTCTGGGACTGAGCCAGAGGATGAGGTGGGACGGCCCGTGTCTGCATCAGGCCCCGAAGAGACCCTGCCGGCCGGCAGCGCTGGAGCTCTTTGCTTCTGAAACCAGCCATCGGGGCCCCCGGATGCCCAGGGCCAGGCAGGGCTGGCTGGACTGAGGGGCATAAACAGAAGCATGGCTGATGAATTATGTTTAAGGTCACTGAGCAGATATGCATTTCAGCTGGTTTAAGACCCAGTGTCACCACCAGGGCAACCCATTCACTCACTAGTTAATAGCCTAGGAGGCTTGGTCCAATCAGCCAGCAGGCACCCTCAGCAAAGGGCATCCGGGAGTGCAGGGTGTGGGCTGGGCAGTTTGCTGGGAAGACAGAAGCAGGGCCAGGCAGGCTGTGGTGATGGGAAAGGGAGTGGGGTGTGGGCAGCACATCCTGGGGACAGGACACTCTCTGAGTGGTAACCAGTGACTGCAGCTGAGGAAAGCTGTGAGGGACTGAGTGGGTGTTTGAAGTCCAACCCTCTGCTTTCAGCATGTGGCCTTGAGCACGACATTTCATATTTTGGCAGGATCCTCATCTTTATGCTTTCCAAATGATGCCAGGCATGTCCCAGGCACAGCCAGGTGCTGGTGGAGGAGGGTGGGCAGCTGGAAGAGAGGTAAAGGGCTTCCCGGCCCACGGCAGCATCTGACTATTGATCACACATCAGGACCCTCTGCCATCTACTCAGCCGCCAGGGCTGAGGTCAGCTCCCTCCTCCCAAGGCCCATTTGGGTGACAGAGGGACATGGGGCAGGCAGCAAGGCTGCGGGCAGGAGGCCTCTTGTGAGTCACTTGGCACTGGAGGGTGCTGGCATCACAGCCCCTGCAGGGTACATGCTCTGCATCTCGCAGGGTGAACATAGCTGCCCCTCCTAGCTCACCGCAGGCCCGGGGAGGGAGGGCCCTGGAGGAGAAGTGACAGCAGGCGGAGGAGAGGTGACAGCAGGCCCCTGGCACAGAGCCATGGAAGGCAGAGCTGGCTCCAAGGGGCACTGGCTTAGCGTACAGAGCCCCACAATGCCTCTGCCCAGCAGGACTACCTACCCCCTTCCCAGGACCCCAGGCCACAGTCCTAGAATGCCTCTTCCCCAGGTACCAGAGGCAGAAATAGCTTGTGGATCAGAGAGACTAACCCACAAACCCTGGCTGCACTCTGGCCTGGCAGAGGGCACCATCACAGTGCAGCACGCCCAAGCCCTTATCGCCAGCCACCCAGCTTCCTAGGCTCCGTTACTTCTCTGGTCTGCCCTGGGCTCAGTCTCTAAAGCGAGCACCGGGGTTTTCCCCCATCAAAGGGTCATAGCCAAGATGATGACTCCCAAGTGGGGCTCAGAGGAAGCCTTGGTGCCCCAGGAAAAGCCACCCCAGACCCCCTGTCTGCACCATGCCTGCTCCCTCCAGTTTGCTGTCCCAGCTAAGATGAACAAGGCCCCAGCGGCCCCATCCGAGGCCACATGCCCAGAGCTTTCAGCCCCTCCAAAACCTGCTGCTGTAAACAAAAAAAAACTTTAAGGCAAGTGCATCAGACAACTGTTACTCAGCATATTTTATGGTGTTTTGCCTTGGTTTGAATATGTAAAAATCACTAAGCTCTTTAATTCAGCACTTTCCTGCATAGTTCAGAGGCGTAACTCAGGGTAATTTAAGCTCTGTTTGCAGGGCGCTGCCACTTCTGCCCCCTCTCTGCGTCCACTGGCTGAATGGCTCTGCCCCTCCCGCAGCTCGGTGCCCCTCTTGCTCCCTTTCCCAGCTATCTGGACCCCCTGATAGGCTGTGGATCCTAGAAATGTGATCTCCTCTCTTTTGGAGATGCCACCCACTGCCGTCTGGAAAGATACTTGGTCGTTGTGTGATGCTGCTCAGATGGCTAATCTCACTCGGGCTGGCACAGAGGCGCTGGCTGCACGTGGAGGTCTGGTGTTTTCTGAGTCTGGCGTCTGCCCTCCCAGGGCCAGCAGCTGACTGCCTGCTTCTTGCTTTCTATTCCCCAGGGCATCTGGGCGAGGGAGCAGCTGGCCCTTTAATCCCAAGTCCTCTTACCTGCAGGCTGTAAATAGCTGCCCCCCTGGATTTCCTGGGTGCCTCTTAGCCAGAGCTCAGGGGCCTGCCACGCAGCTGAGCTTTGAGTCCTGATTTGGTCTGGGGCTGTCAGGCCCATCACAGAACCATTTCCTGGGTGTTGCCCTCCTCACCTTCCAGAGAGAGCTCTCACCTGCCCTGCCATGACCTTTGAGTATGTCCTGTTCCCCACCCACCCTGGTGTGACCTCAACCCCAATCTTGTGTCCCAGTCACCTGTCCAGGGACATCATCACCACCCTCCCCCTGAGGCACCAGAACTGCATGTACCCAGCCCACATTTCCTGCCCCTTTCCCTTCTGGACTGTCCTCAGAGGGGACAGCAGGCGAGCAAATGGCCGGAGTTGATGCGGGTCCCGGCGCAGCGACCCAGCGGGTGCTGAATCCATGAAAAGTTCTGTCATAGGGATTTCCGCTGGGCTGCTGGAAGGGAATTCATTTCCAGCCTGGCCCAAGACTTTACCAGGGCATGGGGTGGGGGACCGAGTCAGAACTGGGCTGCACCTGTGGATGCCTGTCTGGGGGAACGGCCAGGACCGGGGCCTGCAGGGTGGCCAGGCCCTGGGCAGGGCCAGCTGGAGCCGATTCTCCCTGCCTCCCTGTCCCACTCAGGCCCAACCGTCCAGGCCAGAGTCAGCCTCCTCATGCCGAGAGGAGCCTGCTCCTGTGCCTGTAGCGAGTTTCATCTTCACCAAAGAGGGTCAGGTGAACCTTGGTGGGTTTGATTCAGACTGCCATCCTGAGACCTGCCGGTGGCTGGTCCACGCGGCCGCATCGTCCAGGTTTAAGGCGTGGCCTTAATGCTCACCCATGTGGAGAGGCCACTGCATCTGGGAACTATGCATCCTAGTGTGCCCATCAGGGAAACTGGGGCCCAGAGAGGTTCAGGGACTTCCTGGATGCTACATAGCTGTGAAAAAGGGCCCCATTCATTCACTCTGCAAATATCTATCGTGTGCCAATGGCATACCAGCCCTGAGAACAAAGCAGACCCAACCCCCTGCCCCGTGGGGCTGACATTCTAAAGAAAGAGACTTGAGAAACGAGAGAAGAAAACAGGAGGAGCAGCGGTGGCGGTGCTGAATGCCACCAAGAAGACGCAGCCGGGACGGGGTGGGCAGTTTGAGGACAGAGGTAAATGATCTAGGAGGCCCCTTTCAGTTTCCGGTTTTTAGAATTCAAATAAGGAGAATCAAATCAAGTTAAATCCTATTCCACAGAAAGGTCTTCTCTCTCCTGGGCCGGGAGGCAGCCAGGGCCAGAGGCTGCTCCCGCCCCCTGGACACTCCCCAAATCCAGCCTTGTGGAGAGGGGAGCCCCAGCTGCTGGCAGCGATGGCCCTCCTCCCTCCCCCTGCCAGGCCTGCTCCCAGACAAGAGACCCTCCTTGGAGGGTCCCCTTCCTGGGGGGCGCGTGCCCCGGGGATTATAGAGCCCGTGTGATTTGTAAGGGCACCTAGAGGCCAAGGGGGGGCTGCTGTCTGGGGCCCCGACTTCCTGCCCCCTCTGGCTCTGCGGTTAACAGTGAGCTCTGTGGGACAGACGGCAGCACCTCAGCTGGAAGAGCAGGGGAGCCCTTTCACTTAGAATCTCTTTAAATTCTCGTCTCCTGGGGTGGCCCCGTGCCCCAAACATGTGGCGGAGCAGATACGCGGGGTGTGAGTGTGTACATGTGGGCTCCCACGGCCGCCGTCCAGCCGGCCCTGTGGCCTGGCTGCCCTCCCGCCGCACGTGGGGAGACCTCGGGGAAAGAGCAGATGAAGCTGGGAGGGTGAAGGAGGACATGGCAACAGGCGAAGCAGCACGAGGCAGAACTGGGAGAGGGGGCCACGGGGGGCAAGGAACAAAGGAAGACAGAGGGAGAGAAGAGGGGTGATCAGAAGGTGCAGGTGGACCGGCTGTGGAGCAGAGGGGCCGGGGGGACTGCAGGCCCGAGAGGGCGTGGGCCCAGCGGAGCACAGGGGTGGGGGCTCTGGGGAGCTTGCATCTCCGAGGCAACTGCTGCCCGTCAGGGTAAATGTGACCCCGTGCCACCCGGATGGGGGCCGAACTGCCCCAGCCCCTGTTATGGGTGGATCCTGGGGCACAGTCAGGACATCCTTCTGTCTGTCTGCATTCCACAGAACCACAAAGAGAGGCACTTCGCCACACAGGCCCAAGCAGAAGGAGGCACTGCCTTCGTGGCCTGTGGGGTGGACAGTGTAGGGGAGGCCCTGAGCTGGGGGTGCTGGCCTGGTGACAGCCAAGGGGACCCTGCCCGGGCAGCCAACCCAGCCCTCTGGGCCCTGGGACCATCTGATGGAGTCGCAAGGCCAGGAGCAGAGAGCTGGGCTAGGCACCCACACCAAGGGGGCGAGGGCTGCCCCAGCGGGTACCCAGCCACGCACAGAAACCACCATAGGGGACAGGGACATGGCGGCTGGCAGAGCCTGGGACCTGGCCCCTCCCTCCAGCGCCCTTTGGACCCGCCTGGCAGAGACTCCAGGAGGGCTTGTCCCGCTGCTGCCCGGGAGGCTGGGGGGTTTCAGCCGCACTGGGAAGCCCCTCAGGTGGAGCGATTCCTGGGGGTTTTCTTCAGGCTGTTTTTCCCTTGAAACCACACTTCAAAGCAGGATGGAGGCCTTCCTGCATCTTGTGCTCCCTCCAGGCTGGTCCTCGGGGTGGCCCCAGGCCCTTGCTTCCCCTCTCTGGGCGTTTCCCTCCGTTTATAAACCACAAAGAGTCAGCCCTGTCTCTGGAGGATGCTGAGAGAGATAATTAAGGTTGTTTCTAAGTATGTAAAGTGCTCTTTGGAGACAGGCCTAGTGTAAATAAAATTGGTTTTATTATTAATAGTAAACATTTATTAAGCACCCACTGAGTTCCAGGCACTGCGCAGAACACCAAAGAGACCCCTGCCCAGCCCCTGCCAAACGTCTCCCTCCACACTCCCCGCGGCTGAGAGCAGAGCCAGAGCAGCAAACGGCTCGAGAAGATCTCGGGGTCACGGCTGCACACACCTGGGCCAAGGGATGTGCCTCCGGGCCTCAGCCCAGCAGCCACGGCACCTCGTGGGGGCCGGGAGTCCAGGCCCCTCTTGGGCTACATCACACTTAGTAGGCCTCTTCCCCTCCTAGCCGGCCCCTCATCTACAGGGGAGAGTGGTGAGATGCCCACACGTGTCCTACCATGTCGGGGGGCTGTTCTGGGTGGGGAGGGGGCTGGCGAAACCACTGAGCCCCGGATCCACATGGCTGGTACAGGGCGCACCCCACACACTCAGTCGTTCCCCCAGACAGACTAGCTGAGCTCTGCGGGTCCCCTCATTCGGGAAACACTCAGAAAATGAACTCTCACTCAGCGAACTGCTGTGCCTAACCCTATTAACTCTTCATGGAAAAGTTTCTAAAATCAAGTATCCATTTCTCTACATTACTGTAGGCAGTATATCGATTAAAAATTACTTTTGCTTTGATAACTAGGGGTCCTGTGAGGCCACGGGGCCACCTCGGTTAATCCTGCTGAGACTGGGGGTGGGGAGCAGGGCTCCCCTGGTGGGCGCTGGGTGGATTCCGAGCCTCCCTGCAGGACCAGCTGCCCCGCTCTGCCTCCTTCCTGACCCTGTCCTGAAACTCAGCAAGGGGAGCTTCTTCCTCCCGGCCTCTGGCTTTGACCCTTGGTGAGAAGTAACCCCCCTTGGCAAGACTCCCACATTTTGCTACAGGTCATTTACACTGTTCTGTGAATTAGGGCCCATTGGGGAGTTGGGAGAACTCACTACTTAGGGACCGGGCAGGTGGAGGGAGGAGGCACGGACGGGGGAAGCAGGGCCCCTCCTGCCAGTCTGCGCACGTGCTGAGGGCTGGCGTAGCCTGTTGGCAGTTCCCAGCGGTGTTGGGACTCTGGCTGCACGTGGCCTCAGCCAGGGCCCTGGAAACTGTTCTGATACCGGCTGTTAATAAAGAAGGTTTGTTGAGTGCCGTTAAACTTTGTCCTGAGAGTAGAGGGCAGGGGCACCCGGCTGCTCGGTCAGTCCAGTCTGTGCTCTGAGCCTGGCTCTGCCCTGTGTGCCGGGGTGCAGACGGGTTCTGCTGGGACCTGCCCGGACCCCCACTTCTCCAGGCCTGGTCATTGGTGGGTTTGATGGAATATCCCTCTGCTCTTCACCACCCCCACTTCAGGAGGGACACGGTGTTGCCAGGGTGGGGATGCCTCAGCTGTGGAAAGTGGAGAGATTCTAAGAGATGAGAGGATTCAACCCCTGCAGTGTCTGGGTGACATCAGGAAGCCCCTTAACCTCTCTGAGCCTCAGTTTACTCAACTGCAAAACAGGGACGGTCATTCTGGTCTTACGAGATGCTGGGTGTTGGTCGTCTCGGGCTGCCGTAACAGAATACCACAGATCAGGGCGGCTGAAACCACGGAAATACATTTTCTCACCATTCTGGAGGCTGGAATTCCCAATCAAGGCCTAGCAGGGCTGGTGGCTGATGAGAGCCCTGCTCCCGGCCTGCAGACGGCCACCTCCTACCTGTGTCCTCACGTGATGGGGAGCATGAGCTCGGGTCTCTTCCTTTTCTTAGAAGGGCACTAATCCCATCATGGGGGGCTCACCCTCAGCTCCTCATCTAAATCACCTCCCAGGGCCCCACCTCCAAACACCAGCCCAGTGGGGTGAGGCCTCCAATATAGGAAGGGGGGCGGGGCGAGGTTGATACACAATCAGTCCATAACTAGTAGTGAGAATTCAACAAGGTCCGTCCATAGGCTGTGAAGTGTCCCTTCAGAGCCAGGCTTGTACACACTCAGCAGGAATCCACTCCCATCCCTGCCCAGCCTCCGTCACTTTGGAAGTAAAGGAAGTTGGTACAGACAGAAGGAAACACAGACAAAAATCAAAGCCCATGGGTGGCCAAGGGCTTGTCTGGTGAGAAGCCAAGCCCGTGCTCCCCCTCTTTGTACAGAGGCGCCCCTCCCTCCTCTCTTCTGGACAGCAAGGCAGCTGGTGTCGGAACCTATCACTGCCTTCCTCCCAGCCCGTGTTCTGCTAGGAGGCAATGTCTTAATTTTAAGCTATACTTGCGCTTCTAGTTTTAAGGGGTCTCTCCCTGAACCAGGCCTCAAATGCTTGCACAGGCAGGCCTAACGGGGCGGCCCACAGGAACCGGGAACAGGGTGGGCAGATCTGCAAGCCGCTCCACTCAACCCCCAGAGTGCCGGGGGCCCTGCTCACCCGAATCACCATCGCCCTTGCAGCCAGGCCTCATGGTGGGCTTGACGGAGCTCCTTCACTCAGATGTGCAAAGCCCTCCCGTGAAGGCAGATTGTTGTTCCCATTTTAGGGTCAAGGGAACAGTGAACCTTCTTATCAGTGGCAGCCTGGGCGGCTCCGCCTTCACTGCGGGACCACAGCAGTTCCCTGGCCATCCTGGCATGGGCTTTGTGGTTTCCAGGAAGGGGACTCAGGTCCCCTCTTGCCATTATAAGTACCACAGACCAAGGGTCTTAAAACAACAGAAACTCACTGCCACAGTTCAGGAGGCCACAGGTCTGAAATCGAGTTGTTGCAGCATTAGCTCCTTCTGGAGACTCAGGGGCCCCACCCCAGGCCTCGCTCCAGCTCCTGGGGGTGCCCAGCAGTCCTTGACATCTCACCTCTGCCCTGTCTCAGACGGCCTTCTCTCTGTGTGTCTGTCCTTGTCGTCCAAGGACCCCGGCCGACCGATCCAGGCCTCCCCGTGCTCCAGCGTGACCTCACCTTAACTAAGTACTTCTGCAAGGACCCCATTTCCAAGTAAGGTCACATGCTGAGGTTGTGGTGGACATGAATTTGGGGGGGATGCTGTTCCATCCCATACATCAGCCAACATCTGTGCCCTTTGGGGGATGCAGAGCCCAGGGGAAGAGGAAAGCTAAAGGGAAGCGGCTGGCAGAGGAGCTCGCACTACGAGGCAGGAGTGACGGAAGGCCGGGAGCCCTGCATCCCCATGGCCTGGGAGCCCTTCAGGAAGCCCGGGAGCCCACCCAGGCAAGGGACCAGGTCTGACCATCACCAGGGCCCAGAAAGGGCTTGGGGCTGAGCTCTGAGCCTCAGGCTGGGGGCTGCACTCTGGGCCCATAACCTGTGAAATAGGCCTGCTAAGCGGACGTCTCCAGGTGTTACTAATTACTGGGGAACCTGTGCGGTGTCTGACTGCGACCGGAAAAAAGGGAAGCCCTGGGTTCAGGCGCCAGGCTGGGGGACACAGGGGCTCATTGGCAGGGCCCAAGATGTGCAGGGGATGTTCCCTGGCCAGCTGAGTGGAAAAATAAATAACCTCAGGGGCTGACTCAAGCCGGTCGTTTTGCCAGTGCAGCTCTGGTAACGCGTGCTGGGCATGGCCTGGTCAATAGGCTTCTATTTTTAACTCTGGGATCAGCAGGCGCATTTTCCGGAGAGGGAGGGCTGTTTACTCAGCTGTCTCTCCATGCAGGTCAGTGTCCCCGGCCAGCTCTGCCCTCTGTGCCCAGCCACCCCACCCACCCTCGGCCTTCTCCTCCTTCCTGGGAAAGGTAACTGGAATTTCAGGGGTCAGCAGAGAGAGGCAAGGGGTCATGGTGGCTGAGATGGGGCAAGAGTTCCAGGCTCCCCCACCCTGGCCAACTTGGTGTCCAGCTGCCAGTGTCATTTTGCAGGCCCCAGACCCACCAGCTCTTAGCTTACTCTGAGGGTCCCTGGGCAGCACAGACAAGTAGGAAGGTGGGGCAGGCCTCATCCCAGAAGCTCATGCTTCTTAGGAATTTGAGTCCCCCTGCTTGTCTGCGGCAGGACCAAATTCACAGTACGTGGATCTAGAGTTTGCAAATGGCCTGTTGCATGTGGAGTACTGGGCCAGGAGGAAAGAAACGAGGGATGTCATCCTAGCTCTGCCTCAGATGGCTGTGTGATCTTGGGCCAGTCACCTCCCTTCCCAGGACCTTGGCTTCCACCCAGCAAAACGATGGCAAATAGGGTCCATCACTTTTAATAGCATTTGTCAAGGGAGAGTCTGGGTTCTGACTCAGAAAGGTGCTGTGATTGGTTAGCAATGTCTGGCACAGGTATAGGCAGGAGAAGATGGCATGCACGTGTCACACATTTATCATGACCATTCTCCACGATCACTAAGGAACTACCTGTCCCACGCCTCTGAACACTTCAGGGAGGTAGGAGTTGAGGAGAGTGATGCAGGCAATGGAGCAGGGCAGTGGGCCCGACTGCAGGGAGGCTCAGCATTGGGATCTGGGGAGTAGCAAGCACCTTAGGGTGCAGACTGGGACCATGTTACGGGGAGTACTAAAGCAGGCCCTGCAGGTTAGATTAGCAGCCTAGGAAGACAGCGACAGTCCCGGAGAAGGGGCATGACACCATGAAAGATTCAGAAAGATTTGTCAGAGCAGAGGTAGGGGGATGAGCAGTCATCAGTTGCAATTACTGGGCCCTTGCTGATAAGGGTCTGACTCAGCTCTGGAAGTGGGGCTGACGGTAGGGCTCACCCGGAGGGCAGCAGGCCAGGACTGAGCAACAGGAAGGAACAGCAAAGCCGGCGGGCATCGTGTGTCCCCGGCTGTGAGATTAGAGGCCTGGAGCAGATGGTCCTCAGGCCCTGTCCCCTGTGGTTGCCTGGGACCATGGTCTCGCCAGGTGCTCCCACAGAACCCCAAGGCTCAGATGTCGCCCCAGCCACGTTTATTATTTATTTTAAGATTGATGAACTTTGAGAAGCCCCAGCCTCTCCCAGCCAGTTTATGCTTCCCCAGACCACCTCCCCTAGAGGCTCACGGGGAAGCAAGCTTGGCCCTCGGGGTCACAGCTCCTTGTCACCAGCATAGACTGGCCGCCCCCTAATGGTCTGTCGAGACAATTCAGGGATTTCCTGGGCCCCGACCATTCTCACTACCAGCCTCTTGGAGGGAAGCTCAGCACAAACACCAGCAAGCGCCCAGGATTTTGTTTGGAATATGAGATGCCTTCTTTTTAGCATCAGATTTTCTTCCTAACTGAAAATACTTCTGGTGGTATAAAATGTTTTTTTTTAATATCCTTTATACTCATACCACCTGCATTTCTCTAAAATGGTCTCATAAGGTCTTGGTCCAAAGAAAATACCAGCAAACATTTTAAAAGAGTCAGATAGTAGGTGTTTTCTGCTTCGTGATCTCTATCACAACTACTCAACTCTACTTTGCAGCCACCATAGACAATACATACATGAATGGGGTGTATTACAATAAAACTTTATTTACGAAAACACGTGGAGGGCCATATTTGGCCTGTGGGCTATAGTTTGCCAAGCCCCCTGGTCTACAGCATCATTTCCAGAATGATAGTTCAAGGTCACTGTTATTTGCTGTCCCACAAAAACAGGGTTCCATAATTAACTGACTTTGGGAAACACTGGTGAAACAAAGTTCGACAGGTTTCCCCAGAAATTTGTTGCTATCACATTGAGAATCCCCAAGAGGGATAACAGACTTACTTCCCAAACTCATCTGACTGTGGAACCCTTGTTTCTAAAAGGAAATTGTAACTTTTTAAGATTTCCCTACACACACCTGTGAACATCTCTCTTCGGATAGTTTAGGGAAGATGATGAAAGGATCTTGGTGGTCACAGCCAGGTGATCTCCGGCTCCCAGTCCTGTTGGAGCGTGTGGCCTGCTGCAGAGCTGTGCAAGTCAGTGATTCAGTGACTCCCCATTTCACAGAGAAAACGAAGGCTCTGGCTCCTCTAAGGAGCCGGGAGCACCAGGAACTGAGCCAAGGGTGCCCACTGCCCCGACTCCCCAGCCCCGGCCCTCCCAGTGACCTGTCTCAGGAAGGCTTCCAGCCTTCTGTTCTGGGTCCCACAGCTGCTGCTGGGAAAAGGCCAGCCCACCTGCCATCAGCCATCACTGACAGGGTGCCCAGCTTGCAGACTGGGGACCCAAGTTGCTCCTGTTTCCATGGCGACAGATGGTCATGTCCCTAGGGAAATGGGGCCAAGGCCCTCCCACCGTTGCACCTGCCACGGGAGCACAGCCGGGAGGTGCAGCCCAGCCTTCCCCCTTCAGGGAGAGCCAGCCTCGAGCTTATGGAAGGAGCAGCAGGGAGAAGGGGCTGTCCTCTGCCACTAAGAGGAGCCTGAGACCTGGGTGCTGAGAGAGAGGTGGCAGCGGCTCAGGCGGGAATTGAGAGGGGACTTGCCCAGGGGTAATGGGGCCTGTTGTGGGGGCATCTCAGCTGGCTCCTCCGATTCTCCAGGATATTGCAGGGCAGCTGGCCTGAGTCTTTGGACCCTCAGACCAGTGATGTGGCCAGTGTCCCTCACCTGGTCCGGAGAAGTCAGAGCAGCTTCTGAAAGAGTGTGGATCCGTGCCATCACAACAGTAATCACGGTGGTGGTATCGTTGGGCTGGAACAGCACGCATGCACTCCCATAACCTCACGACAGCCAGGGAGGAGGCACAATCATGTCCTGCTGGTGTATTTGAGGTTCAGGAATTTTCCAGGCTCTTGGCACTTGAGGGTAGCAGAGCCAAGATCTCAGACCCAGTTGGTTTTACTCCAAAGTCCATTTTCTAGATTTCTGGACAGAGCTCTGTAAAGAGATGGCCCTCTCTTTTGTCACAGGCTTTGGGGCTCTGGAGTGGCACCCACTTACTGTGACAGGCAGTGGCACCATAAACTCAGGGCTGCTTAGCTAAACCCAACCCATGTCCAGTCAGCTCACAGGCCCATTTCTGAGCCATCAAAGGGGCTGCCTGGGCCAGAAGAGCCCATCCCTGCCCTGGGGGCTCACAGTCCCAGGGGAGACACATGTGAGCAGAAAGTGGAGCCCACAGGAGAAGCTCCTGGTAGAAGCCTCTCTCTGAGTGAATGGAGAGGGTTCCTGGGGGCCGCCTGGGGGAGTGTCAGCAAGGAGGTGGCATGTGGGCTGGACCTTGGGAGCTTTGGGGGTGTGAGTGGGGACAAGGGAGAAGCTTCCAGATGGGGAACCCCATGGATATGGGAGATCGAGGGGAGGGAGGGTAGCAAGGCGGCCAGGGGCCTGTGGGGGCTGACTTCCAGGCGTGGGGAGCCCTGCTGGGATCACATGGCAGCATGGCCCATCTTGGTCATAGCAGACACCATGGAGCCTCTGAGGCAGCCCTTTTCCCATGGGTCAGGTGGCAGACAAGACGCCCACACCCGGAGCAGCCACTGACGAGTGCGGACCTGCCCGCAGGGGTCACACGTGCTGGCTGGTGTGGGCAGAGGAGCCTTTGGAAATCCGTGGGCTCCCACTGGGTCTCAGAAGGCCCCAGGAGGGCAGAGGGGGTGAGTGGGGGGATGCAGGGTCCAGGGGAGGGGACAGTATCACCCGAGATGGGAGTGGGGAGAGGAAGCATTCTGGGGGAGGAGGTGGGGAGCCAGGATGCTACTCGTCGTGGACCCAACGGCCAGAGTGCCTTCAGCACCCAGTGTGCCTGTGTGGGGCCCGGCCGAGCTGGCAGACAGGCTCACACCTGCTCTAGGACAGTCATCATCTCAGTGATGCCAAAGGCCACCAAGGCCTCCCCATCCGTGTCCCTAGCACGTGGGCCTGAGGACTGACTCTGTGCCAAGCATTGTGCAAAAATGCCTCACGTGCTTTGCCTCCCGGGTTAGGCTGCTGGGGGTGGGGGTGAGCCTGGGATTTGGCTCCCCCAACCCTGTGCCCACTGCAAGCTTCGTAACAGGAAGAGCTCAGAGAAATACAGTGGGAAATGCCATGTCCAGACCTCATGACCTTGGGAAAGCCACGTGACCTTGCTGAGCCTCAGCTTCCCCATCTGTGAAAAGGCTGTGAGAAAACAGGACGATGTGATAAAGTACAGCCAGACAGACAGCTTCCCCACGCTGGGATGCCCAGGGCACTGAGGAGCCACGGGAGGTGTGGACGCAGAAACCAGGCCTGACAGAGGCCCTTTCCGCATGCAGGACTGAGGATGGCGGCACCCTGGCAGGGCTGGGCCCGGTGGATGTGTGGCCCAGGGAAGGCAGGCAACCCCCTTTTCTCTAGGGCATCCTGGCAGCCCAGGAGGGTCAGAGGGGCCTCACGTGGGTGGTGTTAGCGCTGCTGGTGCCCCTGGGCCTCAGGTCCCCCTGCCTGCTGTGGGGCTCCCGCTTCCACCCCCGCCGGGTGCTGTGAGGCCAGAAGATGGGTTTG